CCCAAAAAAAAAAAAAAAAAAAAAAAAAAAAAAATGGATCCGTAATGGATTCTAACAACTGTACTGACAGATGACTAATAAACAATAGATCCAGATGCTGTGTATTATCCAACATACTATTAATTGTTAAAAGAAGTATTATGTAGTAGTCGTAATCATTGAATCAGTAAACAAACTGATAAAAAAAAATGCGTACTCGTATAGGTATATTATACTATCTATCGCAAGCAGTTTCGTCGGTTGGCGTAAGCACGGCGATGGGTGGAAAAAGTATCGTAGGTATCCGTAGATGCATCAGTGTAGCGTAATAAGCCGCGGGGCTGGCGAGAAGACGACGGCTCGCGCAACGAGAGTGGCTGCCGATCGGCAGGATGCGGGACGGCATCCGGGGGCCCCTCTCTTACCGATTTTTTCGCCGGTCTGCAGCTTCTTTCGTCACCAGTGCCTTTGGGTAAGGTGTAGAGTATGCACCGCCGGATGCACCCGCGCTGGGATTTTACGATCTCGATGGATGTACGTGCGTATCTATGTTATCGGACGTCTCTCTTCACGGGCTGGTGGGCTCTCTTTTCTTCCTTTCCACGGGTTGGCGCAGGGAGAGCTCGTACAGAGTGGGGTGGCCGTTACGATGCTGCTGTTGCGTCTACCTGGATATTGAGATGGATAAACAATCAAAAAAAAAAAAAAAAAATTCTTTTGATTGCATTCCAATTTGTCGGTTCTCTTTTATTTTCTGATCGTTTAACGCGACAGGAGTTTAATTATTTTATTTCTCCCGAGGGTTGACAAACGCTATAATCCACCGATATATTCGATTTTCTCTTTCAAACGCTTGAGAAAATCGCGCTCGTCCCATGACAATCATACAACACTTTTAATTTAATTAACCGCACACTTTTATAAAAGCATATCGTACATCGTACTTTGGAAACAACCCTATATCAAATAACCATCGGAACACACGCAACAAAAAACTAAGAGAATTTATAAAAAAAAAACATACATTGAAAGTGAAATAAGAAAACAATGAATATAAGCGGTAAACTCTTAATCAGCCGCGTGTTGTTGCATGACGCGTATACGTATACATTGTATACATGCCTCATTATAATTGTCTAGGTGGATAATAACAATAGTAACAACAATCCGCGAGTTGTTCAACGAAAGATTCATATAGAAGCAGGTGTATTAGAAAGTCGACGGGAAAATTTCGCCGCGTCCTTTAATTGTAAAATCGCCGTGTGGCGCACACACAGGATAATCACTTTAAAAAAAAAAAAAAACCATAGCGCAACTGTATAATTTTAATGACACTCGTTCCATGAAAGAAAAAAACGAAAAAATCATTCGTAACTCTCATGAAGTAGATATATATATATATATATATATATATGTATATATATTTACCAAATACTCTCTTATCCCAGCACCATGTGGTCCATTTGTAAAGAATGAGTCCTGCGTCGATTGAAAATCACCAACACCATCACAAAAAACAACTTTTCTCACACGTAAAAGAGAAAACAAATCAACATTTTGACGTATCAATCATCTAAAGTAAAGAAAAAAAAAAAAAAAAAAAAAAAAAAAAAACGAAAAAGGATGCTCGCACATCTTTCTAGCGCGCGTCTTCGCGAGTCACTGCAAAAGAAGAGCACCAAACTCCTCGCCGCGGCGGCAGCGTAGGTGTCCGAAAAATTTAGCCAACTTTCTATGCGGCAAGTACAACCATACACACCCACACACACATACACACTCGTAACATAACGAGCTAGCTCCCGAAAAGTCAAGCAACGGCACTTACAAGTCGTGTCCGTCAGTCAGATATTGTTCCGAGCGCTACACGTTGTGCGCGGCACGTAGGTATATAAGTATATACCTAATACGGTGAGCGTCGGTGCATCAGCCATCACGGGCTGCAGATAAGACGGACAACAATGAAAGTGGGATGTGGCGGAGGAGGTGGCGGATATATGCGCGAGAGCGTGGAGAAGGAGAGCTGTACCTGCCTGCTACCTGAGCCGTGGCTTTTGGCGCTCTCCTCTCTCGCTATACACCACCCACCTACTTGTCGTACATACATATTCTAGACTTAGGTACTATATGTATATATATATATGCTAGATAAATAGATAATAATGGTTATATGTATATATATATACACGTGTCCTTTTTTTCTCTTCCTTGACGTGACGTATGTAACGTACTTTTACACTGGGGAGCCGTGTGTTGCATACATGTAGGGCGTCTCATCCTTTGCTTTTCTCCCGCGCGCGTCTATACACACTCTGCCTTGCAATAGAAAAAAGATCATACATACGGTACTCTATAGAGAGTCAGGACATTGATCTCCTCTTAAAATTATTAAAAAAAATAATAACGTAAAGGGAGACATTTTTACGTGTGCCTCGATAGAGCTGCCACAGGGTGTTTCCCGCTTACCGATCTGCTTACCGATTTCGGGGCAACCCTTTTTTTCTCAATAGTGATTAATGGATCTTTTGATTTTCCGAAATCTTTATACAGACACAGAGTTGTTACAGGTATTGTAATATAAATCGGTCGACTAATCGTCATTTTGGCGCTCGTATAGTACTTTGTGTCACAAGCATATATACCTATGTATTATTATATGATAGAGGATGAATAAAGATTTCTCTTTCTAAAATAAACACATACATACAAAAAAAAAAAGTAGCAACTAGCGTGCGGTAAGTAGTTACATATAGAATATACGTATATAAGTACATCCACGCATGCTTGGGCACACAAGCACCCGCTAGAGAGAGTATACAAGACAATATAACGAGATTGCAATTGGGATCGAAAAATTTCTCCCGCTGGCGCATTACTTTTACGCTACGACGATGATGATGATGATGAGGCGCCTCTTGAACCTTTACATGTATTGTACATATAGGGTGGTGGGTGCCAGAAAAAGTAAGTATACTATACAGGAGCGGAACCGGTCACGGCCACTTTCCACCCGAAATTGAAATTGATCGCTACGGTTTGTATACATCAAGGGCACGGTCTCCCTCTTTTTCTGTTTACATCGTGTACGTATATATTTACAACACCTTATGGAGTACCTACATACACCTTTTAAGGTACATTAACTAAGAAAAATTACTTTTCCGCGGATTCTTGGAAACGAAGCGTATACATATGTACAGCTTCGTATTATATCGTTACATTTGTAGATTTGCACGGGTTTATCAATACACGCAAGAGCTTTTAACGAAACGATTTACAAATTTCCGGGTATGTGTCTATATATAGTATGTACCACACATATATACAACGTGCAAACACGCAAGCCAAGAGCTTTAACATGAGCTTCCAAAAGCTCTAACGGAAGAAGAACCGTCTCCGTAACAACCAAACAATCGCTCTCCCCACCCGCCCACCGACACCAAAAGCTCTTCATGCAACCAACGTATAGGCGTTACAAATAACAATAGGACAACCTTCGTGCGGGTCGAGCAACTTGTCATCCTTGTTTTTGTTGTGTTTTTCCCTTATTTTCTTCCAAGAATCGGTGGTGCTCGGTACGACAGGCGAAAGTACTAGTACTTGTAAAACTCTTCCCGTATGTGTACACAATAACTGAATAACCTTGTACGTTGACCGTTTAAATGTATACGTGTCCTTCCCCACTGCGACGACATCGCGTTTGAACGAGGAATAACGAGATGCCTGCTCGACAGAGCGAGACGCTCCGGATAATCGAAGGAGAGCTCGTGAGTTTCTTTCTTCCCCTTTTCTTCTTTTTGCGCTCATCTGCTGGTTTTTACATGTACATATAGGTTTCTGGTGCATCGAGGATGACATTATTGTTACTTTAACGTGGACGCGATGGTCGACGGTGGTGAGAGCGTAGCCGTTTGCACGAGTGGAACAAGAGGCGACGAAAGCTCCAGGTACAGTGTGACATCGAGACCATTTTCCACCTTTTTTTTCCCAATCAAAAGCGTTTAAACAAATATACCCCACAAGGCACGTGCACGAGAAAAAAAAAAAAAACAACATTTCGGTTAACCGGTCGCATAAAGTTAATCACCGTCTTTCTCGGGGCTTCCTGTTTCCTTTCGAAGGAAATTATAAAAAATAAACTCGTGCCACGCGATAGCTTTCTCCCTCCCCCTCCCGTCTTTCTTTCTTTCCAGTGAAAATTCAAACACATCGCTGACACTTACAACCATCATTTGTTTTATTATTATTAAAGGAAAAAAAAAGAACCCTCCACATCTCACCCAACCTGTGAAATATACAAATAACAGTTAAACTCTCAATTGCCGTTATTGTTACCCGGTGAACCATTTTCAAAATGTGAGCGTGACATTTTATTTGTTTTTTTTTTTTTTCTACGCGCAGGGTCGCTGCAAACCAAGGCATTCCCTGTACCCCAGCTGGCGGGAAAAACGTAAGTGCTTAGCGATACGCCAAATCGAGTGTTTCGGCAATCATGCAAAATTCGGTACTGCCCGTGGGTATCCAGCTCGAGCCACGCGGCGTTGCAGCCACCACCAAGAGGCCCGCGGATCCGTCGGCCGCGGTCTTGCTGAAGGCGCTGCGTCGAGGAGAAGGGGGCAACAAGAGCGCCAGCGCTGGCTTCTCCAAGTCGCGCTACGTCCAGGGTGTCAGGCAACTGTCCAGGTGGCGGCTACTCATCGGGCAGAAACGCGACGCCAGCATCAAGCTCGACCAGCAGCTCGACATCGAGCGAAGGGCCTTCCTCGAGATCAAGGTACCCTCAATTTTCTCAATTGAAAAAACAAAAATAATAATAATAAAAACAGGTACTACATGAATGTTGCTTTTTAAATATATGTTATTGAAGTTATGAGATATTCAAATAAACGTTATTAATAATGAACACAAACGACATTTGTTTTAAATTCAGTTAAACAGAAATAATCCAGGGCACTAAATTTATAACCATAAGAAGAAGCTTCAATACTGCCAAAAAAGCTTTAAATATGACTTCGATCCATTCTTACAAGATCCATTAGTAACGCCTTTAAAAGCGATTGAAAATAAAAATAGAAGGATCGTAACCTTAGAAACAATTTAATTTTCATTTTCATTTTCAGTTACAATTTGATATGCATACTTTAACATCTGATTTACGTAAGATAATTTCTTTAAAATTGTCATTGCGCATTGAAAATAGAAACATTAACCTATATTCTGACAGGTAATTTGATTGGCATAATGAAGTAATAGGAACGTGAACTTTTATATCCTTTTTAAATAATAAATTGACTTTTTTTTGTTACAAAACAATAAAAGGTNGCATAAAAAAAAAAAAAAGAAAAAAAAAATTGGTCGCTCGTCACTGAAATTAATGTACTGCGAACTTTTATGTAGCGCCACTCACTCAAGTGGGTCAATGACAGCGCAAATTTTATAATAGTCACTCCAGGGTTTTTAAACTTACTTCTCTCTCCCTCTCTCCCCCCCCCCCTCAAAATTTAAACAATACTCACGTGTGTTTCTCTCATGAATTGTCATCTCCTCTTTAGTTCGAGCTCATGCACCGGCTGCTCGCCGCACTGAGACGAATGATGGAGCCGAAGGAGCCGAAGCGTCGTCCCCTGGTGCGCCGATCGGTACCCACTGGCGTCAGGCGAAAAACAAAGCGTGGCAGGAAGAAAGCTGGGACACCGGGGGTCAAGAAGGACGTCGAGTCGGTGAGCGCGCGAGAGGCGCATCTCAAGTTTTTCGAGAAAGTTTGCAGAGCCAAGAAGGTCGAAGACAGCGGCGACGAGAATGAGGAGGAGGACCAGCTGGGTGCAGCTCACGTCGATGCATAAAAATTGTGAATGTCGATCGATGGTTCATTTAATCTCACTTGTTTATTGCGTACGTAAAGTGTGGGTGTATACAGTATTGCATTTCATACACCTATATTTACGGAGGTTCTTTTGAGACGTTTTTAATAATGCATCATCTGCAGTATGCTCAATGGAGATTTTGCCGGTGTTACCTGAAGAGATCATCTGATACGATGTATATGCCCACTCGATTCCATTTTAAAAAATTGATTCGTTTTTTTATTTTTTGTTTCCTACGAGCTAAAATTATACAAGGTACGTACAATAACGTTTCTGCGTGAACGGTATAACTTTATCGCGATGAAGTACCGTCGTAACTTGGGGAGTAAAAACTTGTATCAAAAAGTATCCAGGGCGATCTGAAAAACTATCGAGCATGAATTTTTCAACTATGTGGGATTCATAATTTTTCAAAGAAATACTTATGAACAACAAAAAACTCATAAAATTTTATTGTATTTCATCTCGGTGTTTTAGAAAATAGCTCGAGAGCCCCATTAAAGAAGTTGAACGATCGCCAATAGCATGTTAAAAAATTATTCTCTTGAAAGGCCATCCGATTAAGAGGCGATATTGAATGAATAACGTTTGTGCAGGTACAAAACCATAAATTTACATTGAAATATAGCTATGTATAATCTAGTACGCTAAGTTTTGCTGATGTGAATTTTCGTAAAAAAAAAAAAAAAACAAAAAAAAAAAAAAAAAAAAATTAAAAGTGTACATAGTCTTGCAGTCTGTGGTGAAACTTACGGAAAATGACCAAAATTGGAGCACGCGAAGAGCATGTCGATGCTGGAGGCGGCAGAGGTGGAGCTGCGGCTCACGAGCGAGCTGAGCGAGCGCAGGGACGAGCTCTCCCGGCGCTACGGCCAAACGCGGCTCGAGGTCTACCACTGGGAGGAGACGTGGCGCACGGTACGCGCCTGTCACCGCTTCGTCCTTTGGGTTGCGCCTCCGACCGTGGATGAACCGGACGACCAAGAGGATCACCACCGAGTAGATGAGGAGGAGGAGGAGGATTCGCCGGTGAGGGACTTGGCGGCGACCAGCGACTACGAGCACAACTCGTCCCTGCAATCGCTCATAGGTCGGTGAACTTTTTTTTTTTTTTTTTTTTCCCCTCCTCTCCTCTCTTATTGCTTCTTGCGCGTCTGTCCTACTGTCCTCCATAATACGTCACATGTGTCCCCTGCTTTTTTTCTCTCCTTCTGCCTTCCGCTCGATAGCCCCTCTGGTAATTTACACTTGGCTTGAGATTGCGACAAAACTCGCGCCTCTCTATATAATTCATATATATATATGTATTATATTGGCAACTTCCTCCTTCACTCGGGTGTACGCGATTTAACGCCAAGACACCATGTTTAAAGCACTATTTGCGTTGGAAGTCCTTTTTTTTACATGATCAATTGTTACGCCTCCAACTGCAAATTTTTCGAGCAAAAAAAAATAATAATAATGGCGTTGTATATATACAGGTAAGTGTACCGTAACAAAACGTAATGAGTTTTACTTTCGTCGGGGCAGTGGCCTTCGAGGAGGAGGCCAACGCGTTGCCCAGCAGCTTGGCAAAGACCCCGAGCGATCTGGGTCTGGTCGAGCCCGGGGACCTTTTGCGCACCTTCCGCGCCATCGAGGTGCAGAACCTCAATGCCCTGGTGCAACTGGAGTCGCTCGGCGGGCCGATGGCCGAGATGATGTCGCGGATCGACGAGGCCGAGGGGCGCGTCAGGCGCGAGATCAACGACGTGCTCGAGGAGATCGGCCGACTCGAGGTACACATACGTGCATTTTTACACACGCCACCCCCGTAGCTCCCGTGAAAGTAACTTGATTTGTTCCGAGTGCAGTCGTCCATAGTGCTCGAGGAGCGCCGTGGCCGAGTTCTGGAGCGCCGGTGCTCGCGGCTGGTCCAGCAGGGCTTCCGGGCGCTCGTCTGCTCGGAGGATGTGTTGCGCGCGCGCATCCTCGTCGAGGACGCCTACGAAAGCTGCATTGGGCCGAACGTCGCCGGGGTCGAGCCGCTGGCCATGGCCAGGGCCCTCGAGAACACCTACGAGCGCCTGAGCGCCGAACTCGACCTTTTGCCCCAGCATTTGGTGGTCACTTGCGAGCGGGAAGGCTTCCTCAGGGAGCTCAAGGAGACCCGCGAGGCCGAGGATGCGGCTAGAAAGGTCAGCTTTTTTTCTTCTCCTCCTCCTCCTCCTCGCATTGCTCTGTGTTTTGTTTTTTCAATTTCAAGTTAAGCGACTGAAAATTTGTAGCTTCGGTGATCTAAACACACATAGACGTACGATTAAATGCGTTAAAGAAAAAAAAAAATTATTATTTATCGGTTGAACATTCCAAGTCATTGGAAAGTTGTGATTAGAAGAAACGAGGGGGAAGAAGAAAAAGTTGTTGGAGATGGAAGAATTTTCGAGATTCAACAAAAACCGAAAAAAAAAAAAAACGCGGACACGGAACAAAACACGGAAAAGGGGGGAGCAATTATTTTCATTAGCCCGTTTTAGAGAGCCACTATTTTTTATTATTACTCACAGCCGTATACGGGAGCACTGGACGTTCTGATAATTTTTATTTTTCCCGTTATACCGGCGCAGACGTCGCGGCACGCTTCTTTTGGCTCTGCGGAGAAAATCGCCGTCTCCGGCTATTTTTTCTTTTTTTTTTTCTCACGTCTGTTGTCGCCGCCAACGCCTGTGAAAGAAAAAAAAAAAAAAAAAAAAAAAAAAAAAAAAAAAAAAAAAAAAAAAAAAAAA